ACTTCCGCGGACTATGAGGAAGTACGATGCTATTTGGTTGATCGTGGATCAGCTGACCAAGTAAGGTCATTTTATTCCAGATTTATATCAGGGAGATCGTCCGCCTTCACGGTATTCCAGTATCTATCATTTCAGACAGAGGTACACAGTTCACATCACGGTTCTGGAGAGCCGTACAGCAGGAGTCGGGTACTAGGGTGGAGCTGAGCACAACCTTTTACACACAGACGGACGGACAGTCCGAGCGCACTATTCAGATTCTTGAAGATATGCTCTGTGTGTGTGTGATGGAGTTTGGAGGTTCTTGGGATTAGTTCTTTCCACTGGCGGAGTTTGCCTACAACAACAGTTATCAATCCAGCATGCAGATGGCGCCGTATGAGGCTATGTATGGTAGGTGGCGTAGGTCCCCGGTAGGATGGTTTGAGCCGGGCGAGGCCCGATTGTTGGGTACAGATTTGGTCAGGATGCCCTGGATAAGGTGAAGGTGATTCAGGAGAGACTTCGCACAACCCAGTCCAAGCAGAAGAGTTATGCAGACCGGAAGGTTTGTGATTTGGCATTTATGGTTAGAGAGCGGATCTTGCTTCGAGTGTCACCTATGAAGGGCATCCTGAGATTCGGGAAGAAGAGCAAGCTGAGCCCGAGGTTCATTGGTCCTTTCGAGGTATTGCGGCGTATTGGGGAGGTTGCTTATGAGCTTGCCTTGCCTCCCAGCCTAGCAGGAGTTCATCCGGTATTTCACGTTTCCAGGCTCTAAAAGTATCACGGTAATCCGACTCATGTATTGGATTTCAGCCTAGTCCAGTTGGACAAGGATCTATCTTATGTTGATTTGCGAGTAGCCATTTTGGATAGGTAGGTCAGGAAGCTCAGGTCAAAGAATATTGCTTCGGTAAAGGTCCAGTGGAGGGGTCAGCCAGTCGAGCACGCGACTTGGGAGACCGAGCAGAATATACGCAGCCGTTATCCTCATCTTTTCACCACTTCAGGTATGTCTCTATGCTCGTTCGAGGATGAACAAATGTTTTAAGAGGGGGATGATGTAGCGCCCCGGTCGGTCGTTTTGAAAATTAACGCCCCGATCCCTGTTAACTGCTTTCCCTATGTCTTTTTCTGCTATTGTGATTTACCGGGATGGTTTTTGTTGAGTTTCGAAGTGTTTTGGGACACTTAGTCCCCAAATGAGAGTTTAAGTTTTAAAATTTGGACCGTAGTCACAACAATGTGAAGAAGGCTCCGAAATGGAATTCCGTCGATTGCGTTAGCTCCGTTGGGTAATTTCGGGTGTGTCCGGATTGTGTTTTGGAGGTTCGTAGCTTATTTAGGCTTCAAATGGCGAAAGTTGAATTTTTGGAGTTTCGGGCCGATAGTGGAATTTTTGATATCGGGATCGAAATTCGATTTCGGAAGTTGGAGTAGGTCTGTAGCGTTGAATATGACTTGTGTGCAAAATTTGGGGTCAATCCGACATGGTTTGGTTGATTTCGGCATTGGTTGTAGAATTTTGAAAATTCAAGTTCATTAGGTTTGGATTGGAGGGTGATTCGTGGTTTTAGCATTATTTGTTGTGATTTGAGGGCTCGATAAGTTCGTATGATATTTTAGGATTGGGTGGCATGTTCGGTTGAGGTCCCGGTGGCCTCGAGTGAGTTTCGAATGCTTAACGTATTTGAATTTGGACTTAGGCAAATTCTGAACTTGGCTGCTTCTGGTGTTTTCGCACCTGCGGTGGGAAGCCCGCAGGTGCGGCCCCGTAGAAGCGAGGAAGGAGGTCGCAGATGCGGTTAGATGCAAGGGGACCAGTGGCCGCAGGTGCGACTCAGGAACCGCAAAAGCGGAGCCACATCTGCGAAGAAATGAGCGCAGGTGCGGTGCCTGAGGAATCAATGAAATTCCCTAGATGTGGAGCTCTAGCCGCAGAAGCGGCCCCATGACCGCAGATGCGAAAATCGCTGGGCAGAAAAGGGGAGTTTGAGGATTTGAGATTTCATAACACAAAATTTGATTTGGAGCTCGGTGAGAGGCGTTTCTTGAGGGATTTTTGAAGGAGAACTATTGGGTAACGAATTCTAACTCTATTTTGGATCATATACATAAATCTATTGTTGTTTCGTCATTTAATCAAGGGAATTGAGTGGAAGAAATGAGAATTTGGGGGAAAAGTTCCCCAATCGATTTTTGGGTTTTGATCGGGTTTTAGGCTTCGGAATTGAATAATTTTTGGCCAAGTGATCTCGTGAGTGAATGGGTGTTCATAATTTGTGACTTTTACCCGATTCCGAGATATGGGCCCGGGGAGGATTTTTGGGCGTTTTTCCTATTTTCTTACCCTAGCTTGATTTCATTAGTTAAATTAGTTACTTGTAGTTATATTTTCATTATGCAATTGGTTTGATTAGATTTGGGCCATTCAGATTCGGATACTCGTGGCAAGGGCGTGTTATCGGGTTGATTTGAGCGGTTCGAGGTAAGTGGCTTGCCGAACCTTGTGTTGGGGAACTTCCCCTTTAGGATGTTTGGTATTATTTGATGTGTGAGTGCCGTGTACGTGAGGTGACAAGTACGTACACATGCTATTGCTACAAAAATCTCATTTTTCCTACTTAATCTTAAATTGTTTTCCCTTGTTATATTGCACTACTATGTTTAATTGCTGAGATTTGACTAGGAAAGCATGCCTACATGTTTTAACTGTTTAATTTGAATTATGTGTACCCCTCTTTCCCTCGTTTGTGTTTAGTCGAAACTATATAATTTGATGTCGTACCTCCCATATGTTTCTTGAGCTGCATATTTACTTTGGGACTACGGACGTATTCCGGGAAATCCTCATGTCTTGCATATTTATTTTGGGACTATGGACGTATTCCGGGACATCCCCCAATACTGCTTATTTATCTTGGGACTACGTACATATTTCGGGAGATCCCTAAACACTGCATATTTATTTTGGGACTACGGACGTATTCCGGGAGATCCCCCTGTACTGCATAATCATTTCGGAACCTACGTGACGGTATCACGGGAGAGTGCCTGTTGTGTTTACCTTGTTCTAAGCTGAGAGCTCCCTTAACTGTTAAAATTGTGCAATTTCTTTAATTGTTTTACCGTAAACTCTATTTATATCTTTTACTGCTTAATTTATTATATATATACTCCGGTAGGGCCCTGACCTGACCTCGTCACTACTTGACCGAGGTTAGGCTTGGCACTTGCTGGGTACCATTGTGGCGTACTCATGCCTTTCCTGCACATATTTTCATGTGCAGATCCTGGTACGAGCTATTAACCTCGAGGTTAGTGCATGCTTGCTGATTCCAGGAGACTTCAAGGTACATGTAACATTAAAAAAAGAAAAATAATTAAGTTTTGGATAGGTTTTATCTATAACAGCCAAAAAATATTTAAACGTCAAATATTGTTATAGGTGTATAACAACCATTCACTATAAAAGCCAAACAATATCGGTACGAATGGAGCTGTTATAGAGAAATTTGACTATACATCATTACAATTTTTCAAAAAGTTTATTTTCCAATATAAGAATTTCTATGAGTAGTCACTATCTCTTTTTTCCTTTTGTGAATTGCTTGGTTATGTTTGTGATGGCTGATTTTTAAAAAAATTAATCCAACAGTAGTTATCAATAGTTATCTTAAATGTTTTTATTTTTGCATTACTCTTCGTCTCATCCTCGTCAATTTCTTATTAATGGATTTTAACGTATGTCAAGCATTCCCTAATAAGTAAAAATAACTTACTTTAGTATGAAGAGTTTGGGGGACAAATTACGGCGAAGTGGAGACAAAAAAATACTAGGTAATTCTTTTCATCTATAAATTTTGATGGATAAAATTATTTGTGATAGCAAAAAATAAAAAAATATTAAATAAATTAATTTAGATGCATACAAGCTAGTTCGAAGTCATAACAAAATACAATGAAGAGTTTGATGGAAATTTATCTTCCTCAAAGGTATTTCAATTTTTTTTTCCAATAGTATACCTACCCGCGCGATGCGCGGATCGTTTCAAACAAAAAAGAGCAGAGAGAAATATTAAAAACAGATATATATTGCAGACTATATTTATCGACCGCATTAAAAAAAAATTAAACCAAAAGACAAATAGGTGAATTCTATCGGGTCTCTATGAATTTGTTGTTAGGGACCACCAATCCCCAAGAGCTATTACAACATACTTGAGAAATGATACATCAATATTTGGCTTTAAAAGGATTAGTCCACATGAGAATGCATAAATTTTTTACTTGAGTCCAAACGTAAAGGACATCAGATTTGGTTCAAATCTTATTTCATCTGCTGTCCCGAACGATAGTTAATCTGGGTTCACCAACTAGCACAAAATTCTATTTTAAGTAGCTCCAACAGAAACCACATAGTGGCTTTAATCTTGATCAATTCCCATCCTTCAAAGTAGGCCCACATGCAACAGATAGAACCTATGCAGTAGCAAATATGATGGCTAGAAAATGGCCTGGAAAAATCATCCCTCGAGATATACTCAAGTTCAGAATAGGACACTACAATTCTCTTAAGAAATCAAGTAATAATCAACAAAAATATTGCACCTCTAATCAATGGTTTAATGCAAAAATAAAAATACCAATACTAAAGAGATAATGACACAGGTAATTACCTTCGTTGATATTAAAATACCAATATTTGATACACAGGTAATTACTTTCGTTGGGGCTAATATTGGGGCCTAAGTATGATTCAAGACCAAATGACAGTACTATTCTAAGAAATTTTTCAGTGCCTGTGAAGATAGCTTAGACGTATGGTGCTCTCCAAGACCTATAAACAATAAAAAAAACATTAAGTTTTGTGTATATTCTGTAAGGAAAGAAGTCACAATGAATAATAGTTCATCGTTCACCTTCTTTGTGTTCGCTGATGAAAGGAAGAAGCTTGACAGATAGATGATGTATTTATCTTTCTTAATTCATATGTCAAAGTTAGCTGAATCTTTTTACTAATGTGCTACTGTATATGTAGCTTCCTTGCTTCGTGGTATTAATGACGGAGTATCAACGAAGAGCAGTATAGAAAAATCAAATGGTCCGAGCAGCAGAAAAAGATCAGGTGGATGACCCAACTGATACGACTTTGCAGACTTCTTTGAGTTGGTCCTTTGCAATATTGCAGTCTTTGGCACCTCTGCTTTTGGGCTCTCAAGACCACCCGAAAGTGTTCTCTTATAGCTACTTGTCTCTTGAGCTTGCGGACTTCTTATTAATTCCGTGGAAAGTTCCTTCTCCTCTTCCTCCAGATCATCAACTTGAAGAGGGGAATTTGATACAGTTGAAAGCTCAGACTTAGAGTGACTCTCATATGACTGTCCCTCTACATTGCTCTCATCGTCTTCTTTTACCTTTCTTATTTGATATAATTGTAAAATGGAAAGGATTAACTGATGTTAGAAGTAGATACTTAATGAAAATCGTTCGTAAGTAAAATCATATGCAGAGTAGACAATTATAAGGTAAGGAGAAGCAGCCCTTACTATCCCACATAAAGGTAAAGCATCCATTAGATTAGATGCAGTAGAGGAAAAACCATTATGTTACATTAAATCATTGGAACATGATAAGGAAAGAGAAAATGAAACCATCATTACTAAGCATCTCAAAGATGAAATTGAACCAATGAAATTATATATTATCAGGATGTGCAGAGTTACATGCGGCATTTGAGGGAGTTGAGAATATCATACACATGATCAAGAGTTCCTTTTTTTCTTTTTTAATTTGCTTTTCAAATCAGCATGTTTGGGCGAAGTAGAGTATTCCCCCACTTCCCAGTCTACTGGTGTTAGGCTTGACGGAACAGGGGTCTTAAGCCTCACCAAGATTGTACTTTCTATTTCTTTGGCATGGCCATTGTCCGTTTTACATATTAATTAATGAGATATCAAAAAAATTAAATTTTTAGGTGCTGCAAATATTACAGTTAAAAAGTAATATGAAAGTAGGAAAGATATGAAAATCACTAACCTTACCTCATCCAGGTTGACTCCATTTTCCTTGAGAAATGATAAAAGGCTGTCAAGACTATCATTATTTGGCCGATAATGCCCACTATATGCTGAAATAGACTGAAAAGAATAAAATGTCAGAGCACAACATAGAGCCAAGCTAAACGTTGTGGACAGTAACTGGAGTTTAGCTTCCAAGCTACACGCATATGATTCAGGGGACACTACCCATATTTTTTCTTACCTTTCATTTGCAAATAATACATCTTAGGTTTTGAAAACAGATATGGAATATAAAAGGGAAGGCAACCTTCTCTTCATATGGCTTCTAATTCTATATGCAGTTATGGTTTCACAATCCAAATAAATTTGCAAAAGGTGGTGTCACTGAACATTTTAAATACTAATTTGGACCAGAATTAGAATTTCAAGACATAAATATTGTTTCATAAATTTGAGAAGAAATGACTCGTGCTTTTTTGGAAGCCCTCCATTTACATCTCATCATAGTTTCATTGTCACGACTCAGGCATATGTAATGTAAAGGGAAAAGAAGCTTGTCTTGATTGCTTTAGTTTTTGAGATATCGTGTAACTATTTGACGCAACAGTTCAATACAATGACAACAGATATTTACCTTAAGCATCCCATCTGTTACCCCTAGTCTTCCAGCTGCTAATATAGACCCACAAGCAAGAAAGCTGGAATGATGAAATATTCCTAACTTCTTCTGAAAGGCATTAGAATAATAAACCTTTCACATTATTAAAAGAAAAACAAACCTTCTTTTTGCAGGATAATAATAAAAAAAAATTCGTAGTAACCTTTACCACTCACCTTGCCAGCATAGAATTTTTTTGAGGTGCTCATTACAAAAATCTATTTTTCCTCTGGCAACCCATTGGTTGTATCAAGACGATTACCAGTGTGTTTAGGCACAATTTTCCCTTTAGCCACTATATATTTATAATGTTCTCTCTCTTCCTGAGAATGGAAAGAAAACGATGAATAATTAGAGCTGCATGCTAATATCAAACAATGAAAGTAAGGAAATTATGCAGAGTTTACTCCTTGAATTAACAGACAAAAAGTACATACTCATTTTTTAATGAAGGACAAAAGGAACATATGGAACATGCCATATTAGTGTATAATAGAGCAGATCATATATATAAAGAGAAACCAATGTCTGTGCACGGATATGAGAAGCCATTTGTATATTGATGCTAAACATTATGATTTGCATTGCAATAAGTGACAAAGATTTTGCACATACTGGTCCAAGATACTTAATACATTGTTTCTGAAGCTTAGATCTTGGACATTCTTTGAGATCAACCTGTTTTCCATCTCCATGATTCCTACTTGGAAAAATCTTCAGAAGTGTAATGTGTTCCACATCTGGTTTGAGAAATAACAGTTTGGCTGCTTCATGTCTAACAATTGAATGCTTATTGATATCTTTATTAGACCTAGATAGTGCATCTGTAGTATTTTTAGTATGTAATTGACCCAATACATAATTTACTTCATGCTTTAGTAAAGCAGTGTTTCAACTTACAAATTTTTTATTCGTGTCCACCATTGTTGTAATGTGAAAAAAAATACAGAATAACAATCATACATGCCCTGTTCTTCTTTTAAAAAGAGCGTTCCTCAAGTCTTGGACAGAGGAAGAAGCAGAAGGATTAGCTGGTCTGTGGATAGAAAGGGTGATAATACCATTATTGAGGAACCGTTATTAGTTCCGACATTCTTGAACTCTTTCATTTGTCTGACAGCCAGTTAACTGGTTTCTCAGAACTATTGAGCTGGAATTGTAGCCAAACTTCTTTATATTAGGAAAATATTACTTTATAAACCAATTACATGAAGAGTATGAAGAATAATAAGAATGAAAATGAACTGTAACGCACTTACATTCCGTATGTCATTAAATTTTAATAAAATAGCACTACATTAAGAGTAACTTAATTAAGAAGCGATTTCTACAGTTATTTTAAGTCAAGCTGTCAAAGAGAAGAAGAATCATTCTTGACTTCTATGGGTAAAAAGGAAAAAATAAATACACAATCTAAGAAAGAATGTGGCCTCACCAGCCAATGCCAACCACCAAGCCCAACAACCTTTTTGACAAATCCCTAAAGTCCCATCAAAACAATGTTGGTTCTGTTGTTTCCAGTCACAATAACTTTGGTGTGTCTCGGATGAACTGAAACTTCCTCATCACCACACTCTTCACGAAAAGGCGATAACACCCGAGATGGACATAGTTGAGTCTCCAGCATTTTGCACGTCTAAACAACTAACTAATCACAATGAATCCAATGAAGATAACAACAGAGATCAGTTTAGGTTAGCTACTGCTACTCTGCCACCAAACGGAAAAGCTCTACATGATGAATAATCCTTTCTCCCTTGCTCCTCATTTCGATCAGTTAATCAAATAACAAATTTTCCCAGCCGTGAGAACAAATTAACAATTCGAACATTAAATGGAGAAGTCATCAGTAATGTAATAGTGACTTTGATCAAACAATTCCTGCCAAAGTAAGAAAAAATATAATCAAATAATAAAGTAGCAGCACGTAGGAGTAAGCATATTGAGAAACAATCCTGTTGTATCACACCAATAAGAGACAAACAAAAAAATGAGTAGACCGATTAGCAGTCGAAAAAAATGAGTATATGGAAACATCCATAATTTTATTTTAGCCAACCAAAAAAATATTACAGTTGATGCAATGTCACAATATCCACTTGATGAATTACCATATTCAAACCAATTTCGTACATGATGTTCAGTGCTTCTTCACCAATGCAATGTAAGAAGTACTGCTAATCCATGTTATGGCAGATGATGACCAATCTGTATTTGCAGCATTTTATGAAATGTTAATATATATATATATATATATATATATATATATATATATATATATAATAGAAAAAGATTTAAAAAAATTACCGAAACATAAAGTGTACCTATTACATGTTTCAGAAATCACGTCAACAGGTATTCCGCAGTTGGATAATGAATCTCAGCAACAAAAGTAGTACTTAAACCTCAAAAAAGATATTGATTATCTTTCGAGTGTCAGACTAAATTTCGACAAACTTCTTTAAATACAACATTTGTAGCTTCAATAGTTATTTGCACATCGTCATCATAAACCAGAATTTTTAATCCCCTTCTGCTTGTCACCTGAGAAAGAGCAACATATAGCTGTCCATGTGTAAAAATTGATTTCTTCAAAAATAATCCCACGTGAGACAATGACAGTCCTTGACTTTTGTTGACTGTCATGGCAAAAGAAACAATAATTGGAAATTGTCTTCGCTGGAACTTAAATGGAATTCTAGCATCAGATGGAGTCAATGTCATACTTGGAGTAAACACTTTCTGTCCAACCATCTGTCCTGCTAAAACCTTGGCTTCAATGACATGATTTCCAAGTTTAGTTATGATCAACCTTGTTCCATGATATAATCCTGCTGACTGATCAATATTTCTTAATAACATTACTGGAATACCAACCTTTAGAGTAAGAGCATGATTTGGAACTCCAGAACATTTAATTGTATTTAAGAATTCAGGAGTGTGTACATGTTCCAGTGCTAAATAAGTATTGTCAAAGTTGTAGATTGTATCGGAACTCAAATATGATTTCTTAGAACTTTGATTAAGAGAAATCATATATTCGTTGATTGATTCCACCATATTAAGAGCTGGAGTAAGAATGTCTCTTTGGTGGAAGTATCATATATCATTGCAACGACTGTTGAAATCCGGATATGAAACGACCCGACCGGTCGTTTTGCTTTCCAAAATCTCGTTCCCCTAAATAAGACTTCCCGTACATGCTTTAACTGATTTATGACTTGCGGGGATGGTAGGTTCGGGATTTGGATGGGTTGAAATCGGAACACTTGGTTCCTTAAGGTTGGCTTAAAAGGCCAAGTTTGACTTCGGTCAACATTTTGAGTAAACGACCTCGGAATCAGGATTTGACGGTTCCAATAGGTTCGTATTATAATTTCGGACTTGGACGTATGTTTGGATTGGGTTTTGGATGAGCCGGGGACGTTTTGGCGCCTAACAGTGAAAGTTGATTCCTTAAAGATTTTGATGTTCTTTAAATTTGGTTTGGAGCGGGTTTTTGTGTTATCGAGGTTTGAACGGAATTCCTAGACCGAGAGTAGTTCCATAATTTTATTTAAGACTTGCACGCAAAATTTGGTGTCAATCCGAGTAGTGTAAGTGTGTTTTGTCACATTGGAAGTAAATTGAAGAACTTGAAGTTCATAAGTTTGAATTAATTGGTTTTAGGGTGTGATTCCTAGTTTTAATGTTGTTTCCGGTGTTCCGAGGGTTCGAGCGAGTCCATTTTATCATTTCAATGGACGAGGCTCGAGCTAAGTTGAAAAATGTGAGAAGGAGCTGAAGCTCCAGGTTTTTGTTATAACCGCACCTGCGGTTGGCCAGCCACAGGTGCGAGCCCGCAAAAGCGGCTAAGCCATCACAGATGCGGCCATGGGTGGCCAGCCCAGAAACCGCATTAGCGGCGGTCTTTCCATAAAAGCGGAACCGCAGAAGCGGTTGGCTTTCCATAGAAGTGGCCCAGCCGGCCTAGTGGAGTTCTGCAGAACCGAACACTTTTTCGTAGATGCGGTAGGCGCAGGTGCGGCCCAGGACCGCAGATGCGGAAATCACTGAAGGCAGTGATCTTCATTTACTAGGGGAGTTAGACGTTTTGGCTCATTTTTCACTCCATTGTAGACGATTTTTGAGCTTCTTGAGAGGGGTTCTTCACCAAGATTTTGGAGGTGAGTAATTCCTACTATATGTGAGTTAAATACTTAGATTTTGGGTAGATTAACATGTATAGATTAGTGAAAATCTTGGGATTAGAGTAAAACCTAAGTTTTTGATAAATACAAGATTTAACCACGAAATTCATAATGGAATGAAGTAAAAATCATATATTCTTGATCCTTAGGTTGTGGGTAACAACTTCCTTCAAAAATTTCCGGAATCCAGGCACGTGGGCCCGGGGGTGAATTTTAGGAACCTTGCCTTTGGGGTTGGATAATCACTATAATAGGTACAATATGAATTTGTAAACCTATAATGATTGGTTTTTACACTATTTGAATAGTTTCGGATTGTGCGGCTCCGGTTTAGGAGTTTGAACGCGTTCTTGAGTGGGGGCTACGTACGCACGAAGTGAAGAGAGTCCGTACGTAGCTACTATTCCTATTATGTTCGGATAGCTCTAGGCTTACACCATGCTTTGTGGGTACCGTTATGTTATTTTAATTGTTGATTTGCATTGAATGGGACTAAGTTGAAGATGTTATGATTTCAAGGATTTCAAGTAAATATTTATTTAATGAGAATTGAGGAAAACATTAAGTTATATTTATAATTAACCGCGTCGCAAGTATATTCCGCGAGCGGGGTGATTATTTCCACTACTCTCATGGGAGTGGGCCGTTCACCTCGGCAGGGTAGTAAATGTATATATATGGTTTGGGCCGTTCGATCCTTGGCGGTGCACAGTTTACTTTTATGTTGGATCGGGCTGAACGTCCTTGATGGTATTTGTGTGTAATAATAGAATCGGAACCCTTATAATTCGTATGATTTATTGCTTGAAAGTTCACTTATTTTAAATGAGGAAAGTGCCTAGTTTTATTAATTGGATGAAAGGATTTTCAATAATTATTCTTGTTTGAGCTTGTTGTTATCTACATACATAAATAAATTGAACTTCATATTATTGTATTTGTTGGCCCTAGTAAGTGTCGGAGTCGACCCCTCGTCACTACTTCTGCGAGATTAGGCGAGATACTTACTGGGTACATATTTCTATGTACTCATGCTGCACTTCTGTACTTGATTGTACAGGCTTTGAGGCAGGTGCATCTGGCAATCTGTCTGGCGCGTAGAGTGGACTCCCCAGCTTGAGACTTTCCGGTGAGCTGCCCTTTTGAGCCGTTCTGCAACAGCTGGAGTGTTTCTTTTGTCTTTATGTTCCTGTCTATTTCTTTTTCAGACAGTAGGATAGTATGGTTGTATATATTCTACTAGATTGCACACACTTGTGACACTAGGTCTTGGCACACACATTAGTAGACTTATGATGTTTTGGCTTGTCTTCATGATTGAGATTCACATTTATTACTTCCATTTAAATATGCTTAAATTTTTAAACTATAAATTTGTTAATAAATAATGGAAGTTATCACGTACTCACTACACAAATGAGAATTTACTATTTGATTAGTGTTGGCTTGCCTAACAACGGTGTTGGGTGCCATCACGGCCTAATATGGAATTTGGGTTGTGACAACATGGTATCAGAGCACTAGGTTCACGTAGGTCTCACAAGTTATGGGCAAACCTGGTAGATTCTTGCGGACCGGTACGGAGACGTCTGTACTTATCTACGAGAGGCTATAGGGTGTTAGGAAACTACTATTTATTCATCTCCTATCGTGCAGTTGATGGTATACTAAATTCCTTTTTCTATTCTCTCACAGATGGTGAGGACGTGTAGGGCGGACGTTCCAGACCCGGGAGGAGCTGCCCCCCCTCCCCTGCTAGAGGTAGAGGCAGAGGCCTGGGGAGGGCAACGGCCCAGGTTAGGGGACGAGGGTGTCCCAGAGCTACCCCAGTTGCACCACCGGCGGATACAGAAGGGGATCCCATTATCGAGGAGCAGGGTGAGGTGCCCGTAGCAGAGCCTGCCCCGGCGGATTTCATGACAGCACCGGGCTTCCAGGAGGTCATGGGCCGTATGTTGCGGTTCATGGACTCTATGACTCAGGCTGGTTTAGTTCCAGCAGACCCAGCCACATCTCAGGCAGGAAGGGGAGCACAGACCCCTACTGCTCAGGCTCCTGGGCACGCAGCTGCCGTATACCAAACTCCGGGTACACTACTGATAACTAGGGATTCTATTCTATTTTATGCTTCTTTTTGCTTGAGTTTTGGATTAAAAGTGTGTACAAGTATTCCCAAAAGCTAACTTGTTGTGCTTGTTTGCAGTGTTTGTCGCACCCCCTTTTTTTGCCCTCTCGCGCGGGGAGGAGTCCGGGTTTCGACATTCACGGGGTGTAATGACTCATTTCCTTTTGGGAATTGGGTATTTGAAGAGTCGCCACCTAACGAGTTAAGGTGCGTTAGGGCACCTAGAGTAATTAACTCTTGGGTTGGTTATTATTACCAGAGATTAGGGTAAGGGATCGAGGTAACCTCAGGGGGAAGGTGTTAGGCACCCCTCTTGGTCCACAACTGTGGGTCCCGGCGGAACTTATATTCACAAATTAGTCCAAAATAAACAAACAGTTGAAACAAATAATTGCAAGCAGAGTATGTTGGGCATTGTATAACTCAAATAAGAAAGTAAGAATTTAAACAGGTTCCATGTATAAAAGGAAAATAAAGCTTCAAGTAAAGAGGATTTGGGGAGAGGGAGGTCCTATGTTGGTCAGCCTATATGATCATATCAGTACCATGCCCGGTAATCACTCCTTGAAAAAGGGCTACGCGTGGCATTAACGCACCAGTCATCATATCCATGTCTACCCTTCCCACCCATTTATTGATCATGCAAAGCGAATGTTTGGTCATTGATTCCTATTGCGTGCTGCTACTCGCCCCTTCTTAACGGTCCTGGAGGGTGTTAGGAACTCTACCTATGGGTAGTTCTAGACGTACCCCTAAGGTTTTAAAGGCAAAAATCTAAGGCGACAGTCAAAAACATTTAGGACTTTCACATAATGGGAGCAATTAAGAGGCTCACAATTTCCTCCTCAAACAAACATACAAGCAGCACGACTCAAACACAGTTAAGGTTTTTATTAATCAAAGTCCTAAAGCAGGATTTCTAAGCGATTATGCAAAAATAGACCACTTTCAGATTCAGAAGTTATAAACTAATAGTTGCCTAGTGACTCCTTTTAAACAGCTTATTAGAATCAGAAATGTTGAACGATGGAAACAACTTCAGGGAGCAGGTTTTGAAAAATACCCTAAGGCTTGCCTATGTGCAGTATTGTGTATATATATATTAATGCAGAGATAAACAAGTTTTCGAAATAGACCCTTTTTGACACATGTAAGCAGGACACCCAATGAGGTTAAGCCGAATTTGAAAGAACTAGTTTCAGGAAATGTCATCACTTAATAAGGCCAGTTTTAAGAAGTAAACTAGACGAGAATGAAATTGACTCATTAGGCTAATTAGACTACTAGACGTAATTGCAGATGGCAATCCCTACAGGCATGATGTCTATATTTGGAATGATTAAAGACACGGTTGTTTGAGGCCCTATGAACATGATTTCTAACATGACGAAAATGCAGAATCTTGAGAACGTGATTTCTGTTTGATGTAAATGACAATGGAAATGAAGTCCTTATAGGCATGATTTCTATTATGATGCAAACAACATTAATAGTGAAATCCTATAGGGATGATTTTCTATTATGATGCAAACGACATTAATAGTGAAATCCTATAGGCATGATTTCTATTAGGCAAAGCAATCAGGTTTTAAAAGAGTAAATCGCTATGAGCACGTTTGCTATTGAGTAAAGCAGACATATTTTTAAAAGTAAGATCCTAAGAGCAGGATTTCTACCCATGTTACCCCACAAAGTATACATCTACCCACCCCCTTTTACCAAGTACCCCCAAATTTCTATTTACA